AGACCTTCTTCCCCATGGTAGAGGGATGGAAGGAAACGAACAGGGCTTCCGATTTGCGGAAGGCCGAGGTACGTTTGAGGTAGTGACGCAGAGCCCTGCGCACGTCCAAGGTGTGCCACCCCTTCTCCAGGCGATGGGAAGGGTTGGGACAGAAATTTGGCAGTACTAGCTCTTGAGAGCGATGAAAACCTGTATTAACTTTGGGGACAAATGTCGGATCCAATCTGAGGACTACCCTGTCCTCGTGGAACAAACAGAGATCCTTCCTGACAGATAGAGCGGCCAGCTCTGAGATTCTCCTGGCCGATGTAATGGCCACCAAAAAGGCAACCTTCAAGGTGAGGAAGTGTAGAGAACATGAACCTAAAGGTTCAAAGGGAGAAGAGGTTAACGCCCGTAACACAAGAGGCAAATCCCAGGACGGGTAACGGTGAGTCGTAGGAGGACCCGTGTTTGCTGCACCCTTCAGGAAGGCACCGATCGCTGGATGGTGAGACAGGGAGTCCTGATTCTCACAAGAGAGGACAGTCGACAATGCTGCGACCTGTCTACGCAAGGTGCTTACCGACAACCCCCTATTAAGACCTTCCAGCAAATATTCCAATACGTTCGGAATAGTAACGGAAAGCGGAGAGAGATCCCGTGAGTTGCACCAAGAGCAGAAATTTCTCCAGGTGACATCATAAATCCTGTTGGTTGAAGGTCTTCTAGAAGACTGAATTACAGATATTACCCCAGATGAATATGATAAATTAGTTAGGCCCTCCCGCTCAAGTGCCAGGCGGCTAGTTGGAGCCACTGAGGGTCCGGGTGTTCGAGATTCCCTTGACTGAGAGCTACTCGGTCCGGAGGGATTCTCCACGGAGGAGAGAGCGAGAGATCCACCAGATCCGCAAACCACGGCCGACGTGGCCAGAACGGGGCAATTAATATTACCTCCGCTTGCTCCTGTAGGAGCTTGCGAATAGTCGCTGGGAGCAGTGGGAGAGGAGGAAAGGCATAGAGCACGCCCCTGGGCCAGGGGCTCCGAAGGGCATCTGTCCCTTCCGCCCCTTCCGATCTGAACCTGGAAAAGAACCTTGGAATCTACGCATTTGCCGGGGAAGCAAAGAGGTCTAGGACTGGTTGCCCGAACCTGAGGGCTGCCTCCCTGAATAGGAATGGATCTAGCTTCCATTCTGAATGGTCTATGGTGGCCCTGCTCAGGGAGTCCGCTTGAAGATTGTCTACCCCCGAGATGTGATCCGCTCGAATGGATTTCAGATTGGACTCCGCCCAGAGACCC